TAGCAAGAACTATAAAGGTGAGGATAAACTTCAGGTTGGCAATGGTGAGTACCTTCACATTTCTCATGCTGGTCATTCTTTTATTCCTAGCAGTCTTCATTCTAAGTGTCTTTATCTTAAAAACATATTTTGTGTTCCTAATATCACAAAAAATTTACTGAGTATTTCTAGGTTTACTAGGGATAATAATGTTGTTGTTGAGTTTGATGCTAACTCTTGTATTGTTAAGGACAAGTCAACCAAGGCCATGTTACTACAAGGGGGTCTTAAAGAAGGACTTTATCAGCTGGAAATTCCATCAAACACCACTGATCTGTCAAAACCATGTGTCTCTTATCATCCACCTGGTCTGAATACAACAAATACAGCTTATCTGTCCCAAAACTTGGCTGCCACTGATCATTCTATGAGCCCTTCCATCAAAGACTCCTCTCATCCTTTCAATAAACTTGTGACCAATCCTCAATTGTCCAACCAACATTTAGAGTTAGTTGAAAATGTCAATAAAAATTCTGATGTAGTTTCGAATGTTAGCTATAATAAAGATGCTATTTTTACTACACAGTGTAGTGTTTCTTGTTCCAGCAATAAGTCAAAATGTAATTCTGTTGAATCTCATGCTTGTTCTACTGCTAATACTAATGAAATACATGCTGATGATTTCACATTTGAGTCTCCTGCATCAATGGTTGACAACTGTGTTAATCACCCTGTTAATGTTTGTTCTGCTATTCATATTAATGAAGTACATGATGATGAATTACTTTTTAAGTCTGCTGCATCAGTGGTTGAAAACAAGTTTAAATGTTCTTTTAATGAACATGATTTGGCATAAAAGATTAGGTCATCCTAACTCTACTACATTACATAAAGTCCTGTCCACACTTCCCAAATCCGTCTCTCTCACTGAAAATCAGATTCTATTTACCAATGTGTCTAGTTTCTGTGATGCGTGTCAGCTAGGAAAGTTACATCAAAACAACTTTCCCTTGTCTCAATCTCATGCCACAGAACCCTTAGCTCTTGTTCATAGTGATGTGTGGGGTCCTGACCCAATCACTTCAGTTGAAGGATTTAAGTATTATGTGCAGTTTCTAGACGATTTTAGTCGGTTCACCTGGTTGTTTCCTCTTAGGACTAAAGCTGAAGTTAAATCTACCTTTATCAAGTTTCATCACCTTGCTGAGAGACAGTTTGGAACTAAGCTAAAGTGTCTTCAGTCAGATCAAGGAGGTGAGTACAAAGCCTTATTTCCTTATCTGATTGAAAATGGTATTCAACCTAGGTACTTATGTGTCTATGTACACCAGCAAAATGGCCGTAGTAAGAGGAAACATAGGCACATTATTGAAACAGGACTTACCTTATTAGCCCATGCATCCATGCCCTTAAAATATTGGTGGTGGCCTTTGAAACAGCAGATTTTCTCATCAACCGACTACCTACTACTGTCTTAAATAATAATACTCCCTATTATCTGCTTTTTAATAAATATCCTGTGTATGATAGTCTTAAAGTTTTTGGCTGTGCTTGTTTCCCTTTTCTTCGAAATTTTCATAGTCACAAGTTTGATTTTCATTCCTTAAAATGTGTATTTGTCGGGTATAGTTTACTTCACAAAGGTTATAAATGTCTAAGGGCTGATGGGAAGATCTTTATTACTCCTAGTGTTAAGTTTAATAAAAATGAGTTTCCATATTCTCAAGAATTTGATAAGCTTCCTGTTCAACCTAATACTGATCCTTCAGCCAACTCCTCTAATACTTATTCAAGTAATATCCATCCACTGCCATATACAATCTTCCAGCATGGTCCATCTTCAGTAGCCTCTGATCCCCAAGTGGTAACTGGCCCTTAGACTATTCTTAACAGTCTAGCAGTTGGCACTTACTCTTCAACAGCAGGTACATCCTCTTCACACTTGCCTGATTCATCCTTACCTAGTATCTCTAAAGTTGCAGAACAATCTGGTCTTCCACTACATACCATTCAATCAAAATCTGTCCCATCTAATTCAAACAGCCTTAATCCAGTGTCTCAATTACCTGTTATTTCTTCCTCCTACAATTTGCCAACATGTCATATTGAAGTTGATCTTGATACTTCAATACCAGCCTGTGATCCTGCTTTTAGTTGTAAGATTTCTAATTCCAGTCCACATCTAAAGGCACACTCTGGCAGTTCTGATACAAATTTGCAGACTGCTCAATCTCAATCTATTTTATCTTGTTCTTCTCCATCCTCATTACCTACCAGTCCGTCATTAGGTACTTTACCAAATTGTCAGCTTGAGGTTGAACTTACTGCTTCTCAATTCTCTAATGATTAAAATCCTATCAAAATCAATTCTCACCCTATGATTACAAGGGCCAAAACTGCTGCTGGTCATGTTAATTCAACCTGTGAGTCTTTGGATCATGCTGTTTATCTTACAGCTAGTCAGCCCATTATAGAATCAGAACCTGTGTCAGTTGCTGAAGCATTAAAAACTGGAGTTTGGAAAGAGGCTATGCAGGCAGAATTTGATGCTCTAATTAGGAACAACACCTGGACCCTTGTTTCTCCTACTGCAGACATGAATATTGTGGGTAATAAATGGGTTTTCAGAACAAAATTGAATATTGATGGTACTTTATAGAAGTACAAAGCCAGACTAGTTGCTAAGGGGTTTCAACAAACTCCTGGTTTGGACTAATTTGAGACATTTAGTCCAATTATAAAACCATCCACCACAAGAATAGTTCTCACTCTAGCAGTAACCAATGCATGGGATGTTCAACAAATTGATGTCAACAATGCGTTTCTTAATGGTACTCTAAGTGAGTTAGTGTTTATGCAGCAACCAAGTGGATTCGAATCAGCTGCTCACCCTTCATATGTGTGTAAATTAAATAAGGCTCTATATGGCCTTAAACAGGCCCCTAGGGCATGGTTTGATAAACTCAAGGCTGCTCTCCAAGCCAAAGGCTTTCAAAACTCAGTTTCAGATTCGAGTTTGTTTGTTCTTAAAAAATCATCAGGACTAATCTATGTTCTTGTTTATGTAGATGATATTTTAATCACTGGTTCTGATGTAGCCTATATAACTCAGTTGTTGGAAGATTTAAATGAGCATTTTGCCTTGAAAACTCTAGGATCACTCAAATATTTTTTGGGCCTAGAAGCAGTTAGGACAGTAGCTGGTTTACATCTCCGGCAGTCCAAATATGCCTCAGATTTGCTTGTCAAAACCAGAATGATGGATGCTCACCCATGCTCTACTCCAATGGCTGTTGGTACTCGGCTAAGTACTGATGATAGTGATTTATTTGAGAGCCCTACATTATATCGCAGCACAATAGGAGCCTTGCAGTACCTAACACTGACTAGACCAGATATTAGCTTCACAATTAATCGTCTTAGTCAGTTTTTACAAGCCCCAACTGAGTTATAATGGCAAGCGTGCAAGCGAGTCCTGCGATATGTTAAAGGGACACTACACTATGGGCTGCAGTTTATACCAGCAAGTTCTCTAAACATTGAGTGCTATGCTGATGCGGATTGGGGTAGTAATGTTGAAGATAGGAGATCTACTAGTGGATATTGTGTCTATCTTGGACCTAATCTAATTCAGTGGAGCTCTAGGAAACAAAAAGTTGTTGTGTTATCATCCACTGAAGCTGAATACAGGGCATTAGCACAAACTGCTATAGAGGTTGCATGGCTTCAAAGTATGTTTACTGAACTCAGTCTTCACTTGCCTTTGAAACCTGTAATTTGGTGTGACAATACAAGTGCTGGAGCCTTAGCTTCAAATCCAGTCTTTCATGCAAGAACAAAGCATATAGAAATAGATGCTCACTATATTAGGGAGCAAGTTCTTGCCAAGAATATGACAGTTCAATATGTACCATCGAAATTGCAGATTGCAGATGTGTTGACAAAGGCATTATCTGCTGCTCAATTTACTGAGCTGAGGTAGAAACTAAATGTGGTTGCAGTTCCTTGTAATACGTACTAATTCTTATCTGTTTCTGTAATGCAGAAGAAGATCAGAATGCTCTTGGAAAATGGTTGAATTTTGCTGTTGAAAAACAGTTGCAATATGCAGTCTATACTGATTCTTAACTGTCATTTACTGATTTGTGTGTATGTGCTACTGAAGAATTATGGCAGAATGTAGAGCTGTGATAGTTGTGACAGATGGGTGTTTTGTAGTAGTGGTAGATGTATGTGTTGCAGTATTGATCTATGATTTTTGACAGATGGGTGTTTTGTAGTAGTGGCAGATGTATGTGTTGCAATATTGATCTATGATTTTTTTTGAGATGATTGACAGAGTGTAGAGTTGTGGCAGTTGTGACAGATGGGTGTTTTGTAGAAGTGGCAGATGTATGTGTTGCAGTATTGATTTTTTTTGAGATGATTTTGAGATTGTTTACAGAATTGTGAAGAGTTGAATGCAGAGTTATTAAGCTAGAGGTTTATGGCTGAATTTTTTTTTAGATTGTTGTGCTGAGTAATGCAGACTGTCACTGTATGATTGAGATAAAAGTTGTTACGTTGAGATGTTGTTTTTTGAGCTGGTTGTTATGTTTTGGCCAGCTTAATATGCTGAGTTCCATTGAAAATGTGCTGCTGCTGAGTGGATCAGTTGAAGATTGAACCTGCTAAAACTAAAATTGCAAAGTTGTTTTTGTAGTGAAACTGCTGAAACTAAAATAGCAGAGTTGTTTTTGCACTGATGTTGGTTTTAGCATTGGTTGTTAAAACTAAAAATGTGCTGCTGCAGAGTTGATCAGTTGTAGTTGAAACTGGTGAAATTGAAATTGTAGAGTAGCTTTGAACTGGTTTATGTTCTTCTTGGTGCTTCTGATCTGCAGAGTTGATCAGCTATAGTTGAAACTGGCGAAACTGAAATTGCAGAGTGGCTTTGAACTGATTTATGTTCTCCTTGTTGCTTCTAATGCTACTGAAAAGCTGCTATGTAGAACTGAAATTGAGCTACCTCAAGGGGTTATATGAGCACAGAAGTATTTGACAGATACTTTAGTTTCAGAGGGGATGTTGGTAAAAGAGCCAATGAATATGGAATGCTGGTGGAAGAAAGATTGCTGAAACAGCAGAAGGAGAATGTCCAGTTTGAGAGGGGATGTTGGTCAAAGGACGAAAATGCAAAACATTCAAGTAGCAGGAGGAAATTGTAATTCTGCAAAATGGTGTTGGTTTTATTTCAGTAAAGTTAGTTGTACAATGCACTTTACTTAATCACTTTACTCTTCGTCCTTGTCTTTGTATAAAAAGAGTAAAGTTACTCTTCACTGTAGCTTGTTGATTGAATCTTTAAGAAAACGAAAATCAAACAAACACTTTTCTTTCTATTTTTTTTTTTTTTTTTTGTTTTGTTTGCAAACCCTAAGCTAATCTTACAGTGATGACTAAAAAGTTGTGTGATGTTGTGATATAGCAATGCTGGTACAAAAGAAAAATGAGTGTGTTTGTTACAAAGTGCAGAGTGTGATGTTGGAATAGTAGAGTAAAGTGGAGAGTGATTTTTCTGCAAAATTCAAAATTGTTTTTCATATTAGTTCAGAACTGCTCCCTAACAAGCTTAGTTTTCAGGTCAAAAGTGCAGAGATACGTAGCTTGGTTTGAGGGGGCATGTTGACCAAATGTTGAAAGTGGCAGTTTTGTAAATAAATACAAATGTTATGATGTTTAGGTCGATGGTTTGACCGTTATATCCAGCATGTTTGAAATCCAACACACATACCCTTGAGAAATTACATATCAGTCCTTGTAAGTTTAAAATCTAGCAAATACAGCCCTACTATCTAGGCAGAAAACCCTAGATTAATGAATCAAATTTTCCAATCCAACTCTCAAGCCAAAGCCACTAAACCAATAAACAATTGTTTCCCTTCCCTTCATTTTTCAAACCCTAGCCTTCCATTTCATCACTCTTACTCTTTCATACTATGTTATCACACTCTCCGATGAAGTGGCAATAGAATTCAATTCAATTTTTCTCTTCTCCTCCTAGAATCGGTTACTGATAGAAGAGAAAATCAGACTTCACGACAAAAGAAAAGAAGAGCATTTCTATCAAGTTAGCTTCAAAGCAAGAAGGCGATTTCGCTGAATATAAAAGGGATCCATCTCTGTAAACCCAAACCCAAATCCCTTTCTAACCCATCTCTCATTCACCTTTTCTCAACTTCCCAAAATGACAACAATGAAAACAACAGCAAAGTATATGGCAGAAGGCGGGAATAGAAGATTTCAATGAAGATTCTGAAGAAATTTACTTTGAAGTTTCAAGATGCCAAATGAGAATAATGTAGGGATTTCGCAATTTCATTTTTCATTAACCTAGTTTTGGCACCAGTTCAGTTGGACCGGCGGTTTGCTATTGCTCCTTTGGTCGCGAGTTAATTGCTAAAAACCGTTTTTTGGTGTAATCGGCTCGATGAAGCCCCTTGTTCCTGGTCTGACCAATTGAACCAGTCAGGCTGAGTCGGGTTTTAAAACAGTGATAAGAACCCAAAAGTATTTATATGTAGATGCACATGGATCCACCCACCAAGAAAGCACACTCCACATGGGCAACGACCAAAAAGGTCCTCTAATTGGTATTTTTGAAACTTGTATTCTCTTATAATAATTCAGCAAAGTAGTGTACCTCAATGATAATATCCCTCTAATGAAATAAAAATTTTATTACTACGGAAGGAATTAAAATTTATTATAGGAAAAGGTGTCGCGCTTGTCGATTTGTTACATATGTATTAAGGAGATTATCACTAAATTATTAGACATAAACATTCTAACTAACCGTGTTTCTTTATTAAAGTTAATAAGATAAGAGTAAGGCATTAATATTAAATTTTAATAAATTTACTACATTACAAAATATAAAAATGACTTTCGTGTTTCCTTGTTCAAGTAAAGCATAAGGTATTAATTTATAATATATATCTTTTTTTATGTGGTAGATTAGAAAATCAAACCAAAAAAAGAAAACAAGTGTTCATTATATTGGATTAAAATAATTTTACAACTCAAATGCAATGATATAAATGCATGGTCCTGATAAAATTATATACTAGGACACCCTAATTGGAGAATTAGGGATATTTAGTTATCTAGTCAAGATGTCTTTATATTAATTTTGTCATGACTATGCTAAACTATTGTTGGTTTCAACTTAGTAAACTGAAATGATATTTCACAACTCAAATCTAATGGTACCAATTGTCACGACCCTATAAGAATTGTGCGGCCTTAGTGCACAAACAAGAGATCGAACACTAAGTCAACCTAAATAAACCCACAAACTCTCAAAGAAAAATAAGAACACGAAATGGAGAGACTCTATTGTATTGCTCTTAATTGAATACGATGTTTGGAATGAATTAAATCTAATACTAACTAGCTTTATATAGGATTTTATGAGTAGATCCAACGGTACAGACCTGTGCATATCCACTAAAATGAATGACTAAGATTAAGTATGTAAGCAATATGATCATAGTCTTATTCTGTTGCCTTTTTGGTGAAGGAATATTTTGGAAACTTTTGAAAATATTCTTTAGCAAATTCTTTGATACTTTTAGGTCAAGTTTGGGTTAATCCTTTTTAATTGGATATTGGGCTTTATACAGACTTGGGCTTGGGTCGAACATGACACAATGCCTGATCGTGATAAAATTATATTAGGACTTCTTGACGAGAGAATTACCAATTAAGATTGAAAATTGGTAATCACAAAAAAAAAAAAAAAAAAAAAATTTCATGTTCATCTGGATTTATTATGTCATGTATGTATTCGTTACTGAGTGTTTTTTGCCCCAAAAGTTGTATGTGAAATAAATTAATATATATAAAATTCATATTTGTTATTTCTCGAGAATATTTTCTTTAGATTAATATGTTAAGAAAAACTTTAAAATTAAAAGTTACGATTCTTGAAATCAAAGTTTCAATTGATTTCTAGTTCTATGTATAATGCTTTATTATTATTAATTTTTTGTTAGGTATAGTTGAAAGATTGTGTAATTGTTTAGGATTTAAAGGAAATTATTGGGCGTGAGTGATGTATAGTTTTATTTCACTAACCTCACTCAACCATTAGATTAAATATAGGTTAATAGTAGTTGGTTAGTGTTCCAACCCAAAGGCGGAGGCTATCCGAGGCGCACGAATTTTTTAAAATTTATATAGCAAATATTTGGTCCCTCTAATTTAAATTTTCACTGTAGCCCCCTTAGTTTTTAAACTTAATCCTTGGCCCCAAAAATGTAACTTTTAAATCTCTTGCCTTGTCATCCATTAAACATTACATATTGGCCCCATTTTGGTAAAGCCTGAATCATTTGTGTGAATTATAAGAGAAAATCTATGATGCTATGATGGTATAACTGGTGTGATAAAAATAAGTAAAGACATATATGTCAAGTAATTATCAATCATAGAGGGACTAAGGAGTGTTTGTCTAAGTTTATAAGCTGATTAAACTAGTTTGTAAGCTCTAAAATTAAGCTGACATGTTTGTTTATACTTTTTTGAGTTTATAAGTTGAACTTATAAGCCAAAAAAATAAGTTGGGGGAGAGTTGCTTTTTTTTTGAGTATATTACCACATTATCCTTGTTTAATTTTAAAATTACATAGTATACCCTTATTTAATGTAGTACCCTTGTTAGTCATTTTATAATAAAATATACTTATAAGCTACATTTTACCAAACACGTCAACTACTTATCAGTCACTTATAAGTACTTTAACCAAACACGTAATTGCTTAAAATTTCAAATGCTCATAAGCTCAGACAAACACATCTAAAGATAGATGAAAGAGAAAAAACTCAGAGGTGGTACAAATTCACTTAATAGTGATATACGTGATCTAGTACTTGTAGCATTTTAGATTTTTTTTTCTCTATTTTATAAAAAAGATGAAAAGTTTGTTAATAATTTACACTCATGTCAATTAAATTTTAAATTTTTTTCTATATATTTTCATATTTGGATTGCCCTTATGTAAATTTGCAATTATCTAGAGAGTTCTTAATGGATTAAACATTAAGACAAATTAGAAAGAAAATAGTTGTTCACGTAATTGTATCTTTAGAGGCTTTTAAGTAGAGATCCTTTACTTATGTTTTCTCATATGAATATCTTCTGTCATGCACAATACAAATAAATCAAAATATTGAAATATGGCGCGTGTTGACCAAGACTTGATAGAAAAAGGTTTTGTTCTTCCTTATAAATTAAAGGATAGTGTAGATTACAAAATCCTTACTTTATGTGAATGGTTATCTCCATTTGGTAGAAGAGCTCTGTCCATCACTATATATATACATTGGCGAGGTGTTGGGTTCAAGGTAAACATTCAATCGCTTACGATGGCCAAAGGAAATTCAAATCCACCGACTCTTCCTATCCCCATTTTTTGTCCCAAGACTTATGGGACATTGTTAATGAAGAACTCTCTATCCCAGAGATCACCAGCTTCACTCCAGATTGGCTACGAAAGCAGTTGAAAGCAACACGATTCTTTCTGTTGCAGCGATCGTTGGCAATCTCCCAGCAGCCTCCATGATATTGATGAAAGATAAATATCTAACTTTAATTCAAGATTCAAACAATTTTAAAAGAATACCTTTGATTGAGGCAGCTCGACATGGCCAAAAGAAGATGATTAAATATTTATTGCAATTCAGCGATAGTTACTTGAACTTTTATGTAGATTCAACACGTTTTAGTGATGAATCTGGTGTTTCTTTCCTAAATTCGCTTATAATTGCTGGATTTTATGGTAAGATATATATTTTTCATGCGTTCAATGCATTGCCAATTAGAAACTTAGTTAGTACTGCAAGTTTCATTTTACTGTATTGATGCATATTTTAAGCCATTTTTTCTTGCCCATCATTATGTCTCAGGTTTGGCACTAAAATTGCTTAAAAAACATGGAAATTTAGCTACAAAGCAGTTATCTACTGGTGAGTCTCTTTTGAGTACAATAGCAGGAAAGCCGTCTGCATTTCGGAGTGGACAAAATACAAAGCGAAAGTTTTTGCAATTCTTCAAGGATTATAAACGTGAGTATATATTTCATAATTACTGAATACAGAACTAGGATGGTAACTTTAGGAGGTGAATACAATTTCTTTTATAAAACATTGAGAAATATTTTAAAGTTCATCTAGCACGATTTGCAAATTCATTTCTAAAACTATTTTACAAAATATAATGAAGAAAATTAATTTTTTTGTACTTCTAAATAAAAAATTGGTGAAAATGCTTTTTGTGTATGAATTGAAGAAAGATTTTATACATTTTGAAACATTAAATATCGTGTTAATTACAATTATTTTTGAGTTAAGTGTCTAACACTTGTTTTTTAAAAAAAAAAACCGAACTTTTTGTTACTTCAATGCAACACTTATTTAGTTTTCAATGTTTTCATATTTATTTATATAAAAATCAATTAATTTGTGATATGGATTGTTTTTATTTGTAATATTAGCTTTTAATTTATCTTTATTCATAATATTTTAATTTACTCTCACTTGATTATTATAATTATAATATTATAAGTTTTACAAAAATCAATGATAATATTAGACTTACTTGATAAGGTTTTGACTTGGTCAAATTCATATATATTATGTAATTATTTATAATCTTTCATAATTTTGAATGGAAAATAATGTAAAATTTCCAAGGTCCACCACTGCTATTATCAGATCTCTTATAACTATCTCTGTTATTATGGACTGCAATAGCAGGAAAGCCGTCTGCAATTCCGGTAGAAAAACGGGAAAAGCTAAAGTTTTACCAATTATTCAAGTGTGAGTATATATTTCATAATTAGTAATCTTCTATCATCCAATAACTCATGAATATCCCTGATATTCAACTGATATAAGAATAGCGTATTTGAAATTTTTTAATTTAATAGATCGGCTAATGCTTATTGTCCAATGACACAACCAATTTTCTTTTTTAAGTTTAAATTATTATTAATATAAATTTATTTCACAGTTTATGTTGTTTCATGAGGGTATTTAGTAATTGGCATCCTAAGAGAATCTGTTTATTAAATTATTTGAATTTGAAAAACTCCTTCAAGCAACTTTCAAAAACATTTTGCTGTGTTAGCTAAACAAAAATTGAACCCCCTAAAGGATGATTTAAATTTTCAACATCTATTATTTTGAGAAAATATTACTCACCTCTTTATAAGAAGATATTCTCTTTTTCTTAAATACATTTTAGTGGCTTTTAAAAATTTTAGGGGAGTATTTTTTTTCCTCCCCAAAAATTTTCTGAAAACATTGGGTATGTCAGAAAATAAAGTGATTTCTATAACCTCGTACTAGGAGTAAGCAGTAAGGTTTAAATGGACTCATATTTTGTGAGACTTTAATAAATTGTTTTCTTCTGACTTGCAATATTCTAACCGGCAACATAGTTATTTCATTGTTGAGTCTATTTAATTTGCAGTTGTATGTTATAAGAAGGAAAAAGGAAAGACAAAGTCGACGCATCACCAAGCACTTCTACTTGTCAAACAATTGTGCAAGGAAATTATAGAGAATCAAGACAACTACGGAAGCCTTCCTTTTAGCAGCAGAATTGGGGATTTTCGAAGCTGTGGAAGTGATTATAGATTCATTTCCTGAAGCAATCTGGTTTACAAATGAAAAGAATAATAATATATTCCATTTGGCATTTCTGCAGCGCCGAGAAAATATATTCCAACTCATATATCATATCAGTGGTCGTAAAGAATTATTATTGATGTCTGAAGACATTGACAAGAACAATATCTTGCACTTGGCAGGAAATTTGGCACCCAAAAGTCAACTAAACCGCATTCCTAGGGCAGCTATACGGATGCAACATGAGTTACAATGGTACAAGGTAAGACTTTTATATATAGTGATACAAGGCTGGTATTAGGGCTTTACCTTCTAGTCAAGCTTTTACCTTCTAGTTCAAGTAGTAATTTATAATGTTATATATCATAGTTAAAAGTTAAGTTTGATTCCTCATATTTCAACTAGATAAATAAAATCCAAATTTTATATGAATGTCGGGTGTATATGGATCTATTCTAAATGTTCTTCTTTCGTGTATTTGTGAATGTGACTATTAGACTAAATATTGATGTTGAATCACTACATACTTTTTTTTATTTATAAAGTTATAATTAACACTTTAAATTCAGGTATTAAATGATTTTATTTAAATTTACTTTCATTAGTTTGTTAAAGAAATTTAAGCTTACTCATTGCATACACCTAATACTATATCAAATATATTAAGATGGTATAAGACAGTTAATTATGGATTTTATCTTTTATATAGGAAATGGAGAAACTTGTGCCGCCTGATTACAAAGAGGAAAAAAATTCTAAAGGAGAAACTCCACGAATGGTATTTATGGAAGAACATAAAGGACTTGTCAAAGAAGGTGAGAAATGGATGAAAGAGTCTGCAACCTCATTCTCACTTGCTGCAGCACTCATTGCCACTATAGTATCTGCAGCAGCCATCACAGTACCAGGTGACTACAGCGATGATGGTCGACCAACTTTTCACAAACGGGCATCCTTCAAGATATTTGCCGTTTCAGATTCAATTTCTCTGTTCTCATCAGTTGCTGCCATCATAATATTTTTTTCTGTGCTCACTGCGCGGTATTCCGAACATGATTTTCTTTACTCTGTTCCAACAAAGTTTATGTGGGGTCTTGTTATATTGTTCCTCTCTGTAACAGCGCTTATGGTAGCCTTTTGTTCCACAGTTTATCTGGTGTTTGGTAACAGAAAGGATTATTGGATCCTTTATTTAGTGTATGCATCAGCTTCAGTGCCTCTGTTCTTGTTTTTGTCTTGGCAGTATCCCCTCCTACGCGACTTGCTTTTTTCCACATACGGACCCGAAATTTCCCGCATGATAAGAAGATGTCTTCTAGGCATTTCCGAAAAGCTAAGAGCGTGGTACGAGAAAAGTAAGAAATAATATTGAAATTAGTCTCTTGCTTTGCTGCCTGTTGCTATTGCTGTTGGTGTTGCCGTTACCGTACTGATACTGCTCCCCAATCTAGCAAACAAAATATTGTTTGATGGTCCTGTTCTTCAAAGTGGATTTGCATCACTAATCATTTGTATTGTATTGTCAATTGATGATAGGAAAAACTCTACAAACATTGCTACGTTGCTATTTTTTAATGGATTAGGATCATTTCCTGACCTAAGTTTTACTTGAACTTTTACATTCCTTTGACATGTGGCGCTAATAAATTCTATAGTTAAGATTTACTGTTAATGGTTTTTTTCTCTTTCATCCACAATCAAAATGCAATTTTCTACATTCCCGCAATACTAAAACAGCAACAAAAAAAAGTTTCGGTCCCCCCAAAATATGTAGGGTACCCAGAATCGTTCATCCCTAGTGCTTAATAAATTTTATTTCTACATTTCTTTTGCTTTTTTCTGGATTAATTTGTATAAATTATTGGGTGCTAGCATGCCAATGTTTTACGAGAGTAATACTACACAGTACACATCCCAAAATCTAAATCACAAATGATGTGCTATTTTATTTGGTAATGTAATGTCATTCACCTACTCACCATTCCACTTAACTCTTAATAAGACATTGGATTACACATCAATTGGAATGAAAATTTTGGGATGAGTAGTATTATTATTTTTACCATGCTGGGCATAATTTTATTTTATTAATGCTTATGTTGGCAGAAAGCTTAATATTTTGATGGCTAGTATTTTGGGATTTTAAATAAAGGGTAAAAAACCGGTTTTACAAAGAAATATTCAATTTTCAGTTAAATATGTACTAATATAACCTCATAGCAAGGGGCAGAACCACGTTATAGTGCAATTACATAAGATCTACCTAAAATTTTAAGCATTTTCTTCTCAATTACACCGGGCCCCTAAAACATAATTATTCCCAAAAAATCTTGATATAGCAAGATTTTGTCTAACCTTTCCATCTAAGTTTAATTTCAATATTAAATTTTTTATTTTATTTTGTTAACTTATTTTTGTTTCTATTATTTTCTAATTTTAACAATTTTATATAAATCATTAAACTTTAATTTGTACAACCATAATCTTATTTCAATAATTGACAGCTCAACTGTTCCTAGATAATATAAGTAGAAAGAATTTGGAATTTTATTGTGGTATGGTTGGATGCGTATTAAGGAAATTAACCCTAGATGAATAGACATCAAAATTCTAACCAATCGTATGTGTATTAACTATTAAAGAAGTAAATTTTAGAAAATCTTTTAGATTACAAGATCAAATATTGTCATTGACACTAGTGGACCAAGAATTAATAAACAAAAACGTTGTGACACTGGTGGACGAAGACTTAATTAATTTAAAAAAAAAAAAAACTTTTAACTTAAGTTTATAGGTGAGAGCACCACATATATTAAACCAATAGATCTTCTCACATCAAACGATCAAATTTGGATTTTTTTTTTTTTCTTTATTTAGTTTGTATGTGGAGATTTGAACTTGAGACCTTTCGCCCTGATATCATGGGAAGTTGTCAAACCAAGAATTACAACAACAACAACCAAAAAAAAAAAAAAAAAGAAAAAAAAAAAAGACTTTTAACTTTTTAATTCTCTTTATGATTCTTTTCAAAATATAAACTAAAAAGTAAGGGTTGAGATACTGTTACTTAAATTTTTTGACTCAATTTTAGATACTTCATATAAACCATTAATCTTTATTAATCCAATGATGATAGAAAAGAAGTTTAAGATAGGTGCATTTAATGTTAACTCATCATATCTTATAACTATTTGATCATTAATAATAAACGGTTCACAAAGAGTATCAAAAAATTAAGTCCAAAATTTAAGTAACAATATCGTGACCCATTAAGTAAAATCCAAGATTTAAGTAGTTGAGGGGGTTGGCTAGCTTGATGAAGATCTATGTCATGTTTGACGAATACTATTAGTTGATTAAGACTATACTAATTTAGAGAAAGACCAAGGTTAGGTCTTGCCAATAAATAACGGTGAGTGAACAAGAAGTTGAAATTTAATTAAACACAAGATTAGGCAATTATAATATCTTAAGTATTTTTTACCTCAAAGTTTATATTTAAATATAGGATTTCTTTACGTAATAATAATAATATCAATAAATTAATAATGGTAGGTGTAGAGCAAGTTGGTCTTTAATTAAACACATGTAGCCAACTATAATATTTTTGTGTTTTTGATATCTAACTTTAAATTAAAAAAATAATAATAACAATAATACCAATTTCAATTTTAAAGAAATACTTGTAAACCTTGCATTAACCGACATAGCTTTGTTACATAAGCAAACTTATATGTATTTATCATATCATTCATCTACATTTATTGAATTAAATTCTTATTTATATATTTATTCATTCATCTTATGTCAAGTTAGTTCGTACAAAGTTTATATATTAATATTATTCTAGTAAAATTCTTTCAGTAATGAAAAAGAATATTAGCCCTTGAAGATCAATTTCTCAGGCCCATAATCAGGGCTAGATGTAGAGGTCCACGATCCGGTAGATATGGCAACTTGGCTTGTAAAAACTTTATAGGTCTACGATTTGAATTGCTGTGAGATTTAAATTTCTTTACTTATCTTGAAATTTAATTATGGAGTAACTCTGTGAGGCTATCTGTAAGCTTTGCAGTTCGTAGACGTTAAGATTTCTTTGTTCTTCAAGGTTTAAGAAGTTATCTAATAATATGCCAAAAATGATTAGGCTTAAGAAAAGGTCTAGAATATAGGTATTTTAAAATTATAATATTATATTAGACAAGGTGATTGAGAAAGTATAGAAACAATAACACTGTATAACATATCAAAATAAATGTGATCATCCAATGCTCAATGGTCACATATCAGCCTTAATTTAAAGTATAAAAGATTATAAAATTAAAGCACAATGGAAAACCAAACGTTCACATATATAATTGTTGATGTCAAGAAACTATATCATTAGGATTTATATATAATCAAAATGTGATGAATTTTTAATTAGAAAAAATGAATCGTATCATAAAATAAAATGCCTAAATGATTACCATTACGAAGGGGAGCTTGGTGACCACTATTGCACTGCATGGCAGCCAAATCTGTTGGACTGCCGTGTCCTGACTACAAACGTATGCATGAGGGCTTTAAACTGGCAAATGTGACTGAGCCATTGGCCGGATTATAGCAGCCCGGATCCTGAGTGCTTTGCAACATGCTGTAATCGTAATGTTTTTAAGAAGACATTTCTAAAGTCATTAATATATCAATATATGCTTTACGATTGTACTTCTAGATATGACATGAATTGTTGCACCAACAGACAGGATATGATTATGGTGAGGAGACATTTGAGAAGATATTTAAATGCATATACGCATCCTTTGGTTCATCTGCACCATATACTATCTCCCCAGACTCTCAACCATTCTTAAGATCTGCACCATATGCAGAGTACCGTTATCAGGATGTAATTCTTCCAGCTTCGGGTTTGAGCCAGGTAAAATTGTTATTATATATCTTTTTCAAAAATTATTTGACAGGCAAGCACACCTCGTAGGTTTTCCTCATTGATGCCACTGATTGTAATGACAGTGTTCACTGGCTCACTTATAAAGATATGTGATTCTAATGCTAGTAGTGCGTATTCTCGCCTTTTTTTTTTTTTTTTTTTTGTTTAAATCATACAAATTGACAAAAATTACATTAGTCTCACTTTTTTTTTTCTGTTTGTATGTAATTGCACAGCTTAATTGTAAGCATAGCATTATCGGTTGTACAATTTTTTGTCTGTGTGAAGGGAGATTGGTGACTACAATTGCATGGCAGCCAAAGCTGTTGGACTGCCGTGCCCTGACTACCAACGTATGCATGAGGGCTTTCTTTTGACTCATTTGGTCAAACTCATTTACTCCAGGAAAGTGAAACTGAAGAGTGAGAAACCGCAGCACCGCTTGATTCATTTGCTCTGTTTGTTTCGAATTTTGCTATTCCAAAAAACAAAAACACTAAACTGTTAACATTTTGTAACTATTTGAAGTGCACGCTACCTGTTTGATAAAAATCCTCTTTGAAACTCATCTTTCTATTTTCAACTTTTGTTTTAGAGTAAAACATGAGCTGAAATGCCAACCCTTTTCGTTTTTCTTTAGTATTATTGCCTGGTTCATGGAATGAGCCTTGTTATGGACTGATTGCAAGTTCTCGCCATAGGGGTTTATTTAAATAACTTCGTGTTGTTTCATTTTTTTGCTTGGTTTCAAGTTTATGATGGATTAAATTTTTTTGTTTGTGATTAAACAGTAAATGTAACTAAGGGAGAATGAGGAGAGAGCTGAGCTAGTGAGCTTTTTGAAAGCTGTTCCCTCTGTAGAATTCTGCTGTGTTTATGATTCCAGTTTGCATCCAAACAATAAAGACAAGGTTTCATTTTGTTTTACTTTCGCGTTCTGTTGAATTTTTTAGTGTCGCATTCATTTTACTTTAAAAGTTTGTGTTTTTATCTTTTGACATATGAGTTTATGTTTATGTAGTCAGCCATGGTAGACTATATTCTCGGAGTGTCGGATCCTCTGCAATGGCATTCTCAGGTGTGATCATGTATAATGTAGTGTTTGTTGATTAAAATTGATTTCTGCTAGGAAAGTATGCTATTTGATTTTCTAATAAATCATATTTGGTTCGCTGTACGACCTAGAATCTGAAAATGAATGCAGATCATTATGCTTCGTGGTTGAGGTTGCTTGGCGGGGCAAAGCTTGTGTTTCTTTCTCTCCCTATTTCTCTTCCTATCTCTCAACTCTCTGGCACACTCCTAACAGATGTTGAAATTTCATTTTCTTACACTTAGACTAAAATTTGGTTGGTTGTCTTGTCTTAGATTTACACAAATTGCAGATGAAATAGGTGTAGGAGTACACTTCAACCCGTTTGTTACCTGGAATGATAAGGTACTGACTTTTCAAAAACTTAAATCTGTTGACTTAAATACAAGGACTATATGCATGTGTCCACACTTGTGTGGCATTACTTCCAACCTCTTGTCCACGGACAAAGAGTTCTGTTTTTAGGCATGAAATGTACCTCCAATCACTTTCTTGCATTTTTTCTATGATGAACTAAAATTTTCCTGTATTTTCATGCATGAAACAATTATGGGCAGATGTTGAAGTATAGGGTTGTTCGAACGGATGACTTGGTTCAGGACATACTGAACTGGGAGAAATTCTATTTAAGTTGTCGTGTACAGAAACCGGTCTGCCTTCCTGATTTTCCTTTCCTTTTTTTTTTTTTTTTTTTTAATTTTCATTATTTCTTCTTGATTGTACTATCCACTAACATTTCTTCCTTGGCAACTATTGTCATAATTTTAGTAAGGGGACTAGGAAATCAGACCTAGGTTCCTGAGCAATCATACCTTCAAGAGAGCTTCAAAGGTGGCTGAGGATCCTGTTTATTTTGTTTGTTTTCAAATTGACAGTTTTACAAGATTTTAGACATAGGTAACTGTTAATCTAAACCAAAAGTCGTTGTGCTACAACTATCCTGTCTTTCCTTAATCATGTAGTGCTCAGTCCCTAACAAATTCAGGCCTGGATTTAACATTTTTCTTTTCCTATATAACATCTCCATGGATAAATTGCTAGATGTCATGCCAACTAGTCAACATAAACCCCTGAAACCAATCATTGCTTGAAGCTAAGATGTTGTAGGCTGACAAGCTTCCAAGTATATGTTACTAAAATGTGCTTGACTGACAAGCGTGTATGGTCCTTATGTTGTTTAGATGTCATTTGACATGTGATCATATCAATGATAGGAGATCTAATGTTTAGCTGATTATCCTTGATTCCTCTTCTCCTGAACTATGCTTTTCATTAGCTATCTTCTACTTTCTTTGCACTGATTTTGGTTCTTAATCATGACCTGTGATCTGAAAATTGAGTTTGTCGTCTGACATATTATTTACCAATCTCAGGAGCTTGGTGTTGCTTGTGCAGGTACACATACTTGTGGATAATCTGGATATTGCAAATACAAACTCTGTTAATTTGAGGGCTGCATTGTCTGCTGCTCTTCTTCTCTCGCCCTCCAAGTTCACACAGGTTTGCTTACATGTTACTGCTCATTCATTTTAGAGTTGCTAGAGTTATGATTAGGTTTTTGATTGTGCAGGAAGATCTGTTTGCCAAAATATGTAGCCTTTCATATATGGGAGATTTGCGTATGCTTTTTGCAGAGGACAAAAACAAGGTACAGCTAGATCACACCTATATAAAATATTGAGAAAATTGATTTGTGGCTTTCAATAGCATTGATGTGCATAGTTCATGCTTGACTCTCTCATGTTGTGAATTTTACGAAAGAGTCCTCTCTTCCCCCCTTTGTTTCACTCCATCAATATATTACAGTTATGTTAATAATAAGAGTTATACAAAAGTGAACAAGTATTTCTTTTGTTCCCCGAAAGTTTCTGGTTTTCATGTATAAAATTTGCCTCAGGTGAAGAAGATTGTGCTAGGACAGTTTGATTTATTCCACTTAATGTATAAGCCATTTCTTGAAGAATATGAGGCCAAAGACTTCTTGAGAGTCTCATCATCTGGAACTGGCCAAGCAAATATATCACAGGTTTGTAAAATTTGAATCAATACCCAAATACTTGATTATGTATTGGCCTCATACCAAATATGACATATATATGTACAATTTAGCATAACGTCTATTTACTCTTATTACTTAGAATCAATTCTTGATAAGGGCACTGTTATGCATCTAACTTGGTTTTTATTTTTATTTTTTTGAAATTATGATTTCTCCATTTTCAGTTCAATGTTCCATTGTTTACTACATATTTTGTTATGGTGAAAGTAAATTGTTTTTTCATGATAAATTTAAGAAAAACAGTTTTAAAAACTTGTTTTGTTAAGGAAACTGTTGTTTGAACAGCATTGTTCTTGTCATCTGATGCTTTAAAACACCAAGTTTTGATATGTTTCTGTCGCTTGAATCAGGATTGTGGCTTGCCAGTCACTTGCTCCCTTGTGTCTTCTCTTCCACCTGCAATTAAAAGTCAAATGGGGATGAAGCTTGGAGAGAAAAAGAGAATAAATGAATATGGTATGAACTTCAGTTGGTATGCACAGATTAAGAAGAAATATTATTTCTGAGGCAGTGTACAAATCAAAACTTATTCTGCATCCAATTTTCCTTAAGAGAACAAGTGATTGAAAATTTTTCATTAGACCTTCTATACTTAATCCTGGATACTTGAATGATTACATAACATACATTTTGCAGGTCGAGCTATAAATGAAGTTATAACCGGTTCAAGAGAAGAGGCAGCTAAATGTATGCAGAAGGTTCTGCGACGAACTGTAATGGTTTCAAGTGCAAGACAGGCAGTGTCTGGTCTACTTGCTGTTGGTGGCATCAATGCTACTAGATATCTTGCTAACAAAATGCAGAAAGCTTGGAAATCCTGGACATAAAACTACCCATTTCTCTTTCTCAATTTTCATGAGATTTGGTCAAGTAGATTATAACTTTCAAAATGAGAATGCATTATCTTTACCACAAGCTGCCCTGCCCTGGCTGTAAGTTATGAATTTTGCAGATCAACTAGTTTTATACTTCCATTTCGAAGTTGGTTTTTCGTTTGTTGAGGTAATTTTGGGAGCAAGCAAGCCACTCCCTTTGGAATGAACAATATCAAAAAGAAAAAAGAAAACACCTTTTAAGATACTTTTATTTTGAGATTATTCATAGTCTTTGAATGGGAACAAACATTATTTACATGAATCCAGTCGTAACATAGGGAAAAGTATATCTTCCCCTGAGGTTTCATGAAATTATTCAACACACCATAAGTTTCAGAAAATGACAAATACGCCGAACATAAAAATTCTTGACAAAAATAAAAAGAAAAACATCACAATAAGCACGAATCAGAATTGATACGTCTTGCACTTGCTCAAGACTTTTGACAGATTCTCCAGAATGCTGCAAAAAATAAATAAATGACAATACAAGTTAATAAGTAAAAATGTCAGAGCAAAGTATTAAATTTTTACCAATAAAATTCTTAGTAAAGTTATATTCCACAGACCAGCATCAAAAATCCAAATATCTTTCTTTAAAAATCTTCCTACAGGATACCTGAAAACTGACTGGTATAGTGGGCATAATCAGACCTTGTTGACATTCAACATCAAATACGGATCACAAAATAAAAGATATAAATTGGCATAGGATATATTGGATTAAGAAAATTTATGAGAAGGATTTATACATTAAATATCATAATAAATTATCACATTTCACAGATCCATGAGTATTGTTTACACGGTTTGAATTAAAAAGGTAGCAGAAACAGTGCACATGGAATTGGACACTACAACAACAAAACATGAATCCCAAAGTTATAAAAATATTTTTATAGCTTGCAGTGGATGCAAATATACAGCATATCCTTGAATTCGGTAATGCTTATAAGCTATTGGGAAATAGAAATAAATCATTTTTTTTTCTTGAAGGGTATTTACCATCATTAATATTGTAAGCTAGCTCATATATATAAACAATTTACCAGGCTTTATAACAGTGAAAATAAGAGAGATTTTTACACATACCTGATCACTCATTGTCCCCGGATGGTGAAGGAACTGCAGGGTCAAGAATTAGAAATAAATTAATTTTTCCTTGAAGGGTATTCCAACAATAACATTATAAGCTAGCTTATATAAACCATTTACCAGGCTTTATAACAATGAAAATAAGAGAGATTTTTTCACATAACTGATCACTCATTGTCCCCGGATGGTGAAGGAACTGCAGGGTCAAGAATTAGAAATAAATTAATTTTTCCTTGAAGGGTATTCCAACAATAACATTATAAGCTAGCTTATATAAACCATTTACCAGGCTTTATAACAATGAAAATAAGAGAGAGTTTTACACATACCTGATCTCGATGATGAAGCAATTTCAGGGTCAAGATGAATGTTCTGGCCATGATCAATGTTTGACCGATCCAATTTGCAGCTTTCACTCAGGGTAGGAGATATATGTATCTTCAAATCTTTAAGGGCCTTGAGTTTCTCCATCTCGGGTGACAGAGATGACAATCCTGAGCAACTTACAATCTCAAGTTTTCGAAGTGATGTGAGATCTGTAAGCCATGGTGGCAGTGTTGTGAGACTGGAACATGAATCAATCCGCATGTACTATAAAGTGTTGGCAGACCCTTGAAGAATCAATTGGGGTAAATCTACTGTTTCTTGTAGTTCATAAATCATGAATACTTTAAGGTTCATGCGGCGGTCTTCTTCTTGCAAGTCCATCTTCAGATTAAGGTTTGAACAACTTTATATCACAAGCGTCTCCAATCTCTCTAGTTATGTTATATCGTCTGGCAACGAATACAAGCTATCACAACCTTGCAAAATCAATGTTCGGAGGTTGGTGATACTTTGCATCTTTCCAGACAAATTTTCAAGATGGTGACAGTTATACAAGTGCAGATATCGGAGAGAGTGCAAATATTCAAGTTCATTTCCCGGTAGACTCACATTTGTGGTTATTTCCAAATATCTGAGGTTGATCAGTTTTCGCATATTTTCAGGAAACTTCGTAAGTCTTGAACAACCAAGAAGTATTAAGGTTTGCAAACTCTTAAGTTTACAAATTGCCTCCGAGAGTTCCATCATAATTAAATTCCAAGATAAGTCAAGATATCTCAATTGTTCCAATGAACCGACAGAATCCGGTAGCACTTCAAATTGTAAACCACTTAAGCATAACAGGCGGATCTGCTTAAACTTCGATGTCCATCTATTAAAGAAGGATTGAGTAACAGGCTGAAACGGAGAACTTTTCATGATGATTGCCTACAAGAACGGTTCAATATATGAAAATTCTCTATCACCGTCTTCAATACCATGAAATGACAAATATTGAGCCCGTATTTTAGGATACATGACTCTGAGATGATCATACATAAAATCATGCAATTTAAATGTAAAACAATAACCATGATTTACCACATCTTGAAAGAAATTCCTAGGAAATAATTCCTTCAAATATCTCTCCCCGATATCTTCCAACTCTTCGTTATTGTCACCAGAATGAAGAAAATCTTGCGCCATCCAGTAATAGATCAGATAATGACTGTTAAAACAAAAACCCTTTGGAAATAAGGAACAATGCTGCAAGCAAATTTGCAAATGAAATGGCAAACTCTCATAGCTTAATTTCAACATGGGTAGGATGTTATTTCTCTCTTGGATTTCCCTCCAGAAGTCATTACCTTCAATTAGCAACCCATTACCCGGATCTGTCTTTTGATATAGGGTTCCTAAAATTTTCACTACTAAAGGAATGCCATCACATTTTTCCACAATTTTAATGAGGTCTTGATGTTCATTGTTTTCTCGATCTCCAAATGCATATTTCACAAACAACGACATACTATCCTTAAGGGAAANCATAATTTGGAAGTTTTTTTATCAAAAAATCCAACAGGTTGTCTCATATATATTTTCTCTTCTAGGTTTCCATGTAGAAAAGCAGTCTTAATGTCTAGTTGCTCTAGTTCTAGGTCATAATGTGCAACTACAGACAACATAATCCTAATTGTTTTATACTTAACTACTGGTGAGAAAATTTCATTAAAATCAATGCCTTCCCTTTGTGTGTAACCTTTAGCTACAAGTCTAGCCTTATACCTAGGAGGGTCAGAAGAGTTTATACCTTCTTTTACCTTGAATAGCCATCGACATTCAACTGGTTTTTGATCTCTTGGAGTTGGGACCAAGGACCAGATCCTGTTGACTTTCAGGGACTGCATTTCTTCCTCCATTGCAGCCTGCCATTTGTCCTTGTCCTTTGATTTGATTGCTTCCTCATAGCTATCAGGTTCTGATCTTAGTACTTCAGCTCTAGCCACCAGTGCAGTGTAGATCAAATCAGCATAGGAATATCTTGCTGGAGGTCTGATCTCTCTACGGGTCTTGTCTCTTGTTAGCTGATACTATGCCAGGGATTCTTCTTGGGTTAGTGATAAGAGCTTGAATGTTTATATTTTTTTAGTGATTTAATTGGTTTATTTATGGAAAAATGTGTTTAAAGTGTGGAATTTGGATTATTTCTTTCATAAATACCATTTATGGGATCACGGGTGCATGTTGAGTGTTTTCAGGCTCAAACAGGTTGTTGAAGGGAAAAAATGATGTCGATAGGATTCACGATGCGTAGGAACAAACGGCACAAGAATCAGGATCGAAATGAGGGAGTTGTGGTACGTCGAAGATGTTACGGAAAATCTGGAAATTCTTCATCATGAGTATGCCTCGATATTTCTATCATAACTTGAGCTGTAGAAGTCAGAATTTGACGATTTTGGTGGCGTTGGAAAGCTTATTCAGAGAGCTACAATGTTTGTGTTGATGACTTTATCTAATTCTGAAGTTTATAGATGCTTTGAATAGAAAGAATGATCACCACGGTGACCATTCTTACCGTCGCGGCGATGGGTCATGGGTTTGTGTTAATTCATTACCCTAATTCGAATCTGAATGGGCTAATTTTTCTAATCTTTTTCTTAAGCACGACCAAGAACCCCAGGGATATAAAAAAAGAGTTTTTAAGAAATTAAAGGGGACTTTTGGAGGAGGAAGAAGACGGCTATCAAGTTGGAGATCGGGATCCTGAGAGCTCTCGTTCACCGATTAGAGAAGTTTTTATCTTTTTCTTTCTTGAATTGATGTCATTGAACAGAATGATGGATTTTGTTATTTCATTATGAACTAATTCTCTTTTCTAGGGCTACAGATGTAACCCAATTTATGAACATGTGTTGACAGTATTATATTGATTTTATATTGAGCATGATTTCTAAGTTTTATTATCATGTGTAATGTTTTCAAGTCTTAAGGGCCCGAGAGTTGAATGATATCATGGGTTGGGTTGAGATCGAGAGATGAAACTTGATTTGTCTTAGGTAATAAAACCATAGAATGAGCGAACGCTAGAGATAGATTACCGCGATCTGTGAGGCTCTGGTAGATTCCATAGAACTTAACGATCTTTTAGCACCTAAATCCAACTTAGAGATATCTTGGGTTGTTGCTTTAAGGTTAATTTGCTAATTGCTTGAGAGAGAGTTAGTGGAATATTAGGGGATTTGGCCTTTAGAATGTACTTGATTAGGTTAGCAATAATTGTCAATGCATAGGATTAAATTGGTGTGAAATCTGTGCCCTAGGTTTAGTCATATTGATCTTTACATCAAAGCTTTAACAAATTCTGTATTTATTTAGTTTTTAGTTTGTTACGTTGTCATTAAAGCTTCTCTTAAAATTATGTTTTATCAAATAACAATAGGATATAATAGTTTGGTACTTGGTAGGTAGTTCCCTTGGGATTCGACACTCGTTTACTCGAACTTTATTACTTGCACGATTTCGTATACTTGCGAATAGCCTAACAATTAGTTCTAAGTTCTCCGCTGGTTCACCCTCATAGTCATGATCCAGGGTTTCCAATTCAGTTTCTTCATCTGGATTTTCTTCATCAGGTTGGATACTTGAGGGGTCCACCTCAATTTGTGTCCCTGCACTTGGTTCTTGACTCATAG